TGCTCGTTTCGCTTCCAGCATCGAGGTCGTCCTCCTTTCTCAGCGGGAGCCCCGAGTCAACTTTTTCTCCTGGATGCGACTGTGCGCCCAGCCTGTTTCCTCCCTCTTAATAAAATCCGTCTCACGTCGCGTACGCGTTGACAGACGCGTTGCGGAGAAAGGAAAGAGGGAAACACAGGTAACAACACCGCTGTTGTCGCTTCGGAAATTTCGGCGCGCTCCTCTTTCGTGTAAAAAGAGGAGGAAACGATCGTTCCGGGAAAACGGGGCTAACGACCGAACGTCTGTATTCTCAGGCGAGTTACACTGGCCGTGTGTCGGGCTCGTTGCGTGGACGGCTGCCAACTTCTCTTCACGATTCCATCGGCCATCGGAAAGGGTCAACGTAGGTAGAAAGAATTCATCTCCCTGGAATATTACGCCGTTGTAGTTTCAGTTTCAGAGCGTATTAGCGAAAGTGAGGATACCGGCGTATTTATAGGTCGAACGTTAAAAACCGGAGTGACGGCGGTGGCCAGCGAGCGAACAGGGGGTCGTTGTACATACTTATGTACGCGACGGGGCCAATCTCTCTTAATCTTCTCTCGAAATAAACGCTCTCCGTGCCCGTACGTAACGATCGATCAAACAATCGGAGAAAGAGGAGGGACGAGGGAGGACGAGGGAGGACGAGGGAGGACGAGGGAGTCGCGACATATGCCGGGACCTCCTGCAGTCGGAGAACAGAGGAAACGCGTCGAGGATCGGCTTTGATCGCCATATGTTCGCCCCGCCGAGGTTTATACGGGATCGATTAACAAGTATGCCGATTCATTGCGGCTACTTGTTCCTCTTTCAACGTTCGGCCTTTATCGTTCTTTCGATAGAGAAGGAAATCGTACAGACGTGCGTTTGTGGCACGCTAACGTATACATAGATATCAAAGTTCTCCCAGGTTCCTCCTTTAAATGCCTGACCGCGATAGCGTAGTCGCGTCGCGTACCAGTTGGCAAGTTTGCCACACAGATCAAATAGGCGGAGTGTAAAAGGCTGGAGCCCGAGAGGAGAACGAAAGCGAAGAAGCTTTTCCTCCAAACGCGCACCGTTCGTATAGAGCAAACAACGTATAACGCGCTCTTTGTCCGTTATCTTCTCCTGGCTTCTTTCTCTGCGTGCGCACCGGTCTCAGATTCAGCCCGAGAGGGAGCAACTCCTGCGTAGTAATCGCGAAAAATTGAAAAAATTCTTTCGCAAAATTTGTGAAACGTTCGGACCCGAGTCTCCGCGAAAAGAGAAGGAGGAGGAAAAGGAAACGACTGGCGATGCGGAATGAACCGTGCAAGCTGGATCTTAACATTGACTTGGTAATCATTTTTAGCGAATTAATTGCTCCAATCGTATTTCATCCTCCGCCTCCTCCCTTTTTCGTCCGCGTACACGGAGAAAAAGGAAGTCGTTGACCCGATACGTCAGCCTTGCGTAACGAACGCTTTGTACACCTGACCCGTACGCTAATCGTCGCGTACGATTAGGCATACCTTGACAAAAGGAAAGTTTCATCTCTTCTGCCTCCTGGGAGATCCCCACCATCTCGTTTATTTATCGCTCTCCCCTCGAAACTGTACCTAGCATTTGATAATACGGGATATGATAAGCCAGGAGGATCGATCGGCAAAGGCGTTACAGTACGGTGATCGGGGATCGAGCGAGGGGAAGGGAAGAGGGGATCCCTGCCGTTCCCTCGGTCGAAACATGTCCGTACACGTTCGTGCACGACGCAAACTCTTTTGCGATCCTGCCATTGTTAACCGCAGATATTCTCTTGTTCGCCGGCCAGTCGAGTGACAGACACCGTGCGAAAAGGTTGTGGAGAAAAAAAGTTGGCGATTCGAGACGATGCCGATTAATATAGTGAACGGTCTTCTGGAGGCGATGATACGCCTCACGCCGTCTCCGAGAAAAAAAAGTCAGATAAGTTGGAGCAGAGCGGGTGGTAGAACGGGGAACGCGCACGCGCGGCGGAAGAGCACGCCTGGAGGAAGAAGAAAATACTGGAGAAACGGACAGGTGGTCCATCGTCCTACTCTTCTCTATGTAGTTCTCTAGACGAGTGCGCGCGTGTGTTCCGTAAACGGTGGACGAAAGACGGACGAAAGACGGACGAAAGACGGACGAAACCCGATCGAATGTAGGTGAATGAGTGCACGAGGGTAACGACAAAGGACGCGGGAACTTGGTGACGGGCCATGCGTTACGTAAGAAAAGGAACGGCACGTCGGACGAAAGAGAGAGGTAGATGAGGCGCGATCAGACGCGATGCGACCAACTGTTGGTAAGCCTCTCCTATACGGCCGCTGGATGACTCACGAACCGAGGAAAAGAAACTGCTTTTGCCCTGCTCGAACCGGCTCCCGCATTCCTCCTCGATTGTCCCAATTTGAAAGAGCGCATTCCTCCAAGCTTACCAACGTCGCGCGTCCATCCAGAACGCGATCCTCCTCTTCTATTCTTCGACGCTGCAAATTTACAGGAGTTACCGTTCTCTCGAAACAGCGCGGTCACTTATGGCCACATGTGGCCACCATGCGGCCACCATGCGGCCATCCCACGTCCAGTCTCTCGATTAACCGGCAAAAAAGCGATCGCGCGGACCTCCTTTGCGAACGCTCCCAGAGACGCTGTCAGTAAACGCTGCCGCTCGGTGACGAACGCTTTCTCTCCCTTTACCTACCAGCCAAGACAAACCTTGGAGAAATCTTGGAGAATACCGGTTGCAAGTTCGTTGTCCTCCGTCTCTTTTTCATCCTCGCTTACCATTTCTTTATTCTTCCCCCAGAATGCCATATTCCTAACGCCCGACAATGTCCCGGGACAAAAGAGAACGCGTCGTTTCAGGAAACGTTCTACTCGCGATTACAAACACTACGGAAATTACGTTTCGGAAGGTGGCGCGTTGCCTCGCGCGGACGGTCTAACTTTCTTTCGCTCGATGAATTCGCACGATTAAAAAAAGCTAATTACTCACACAGTTGGTTGCATAGAGAAGGTAGGCTGCAATCAACGAACGGAAACCGGCGCGGCCGCGACTCTAGAAAAAGCAGCATTTTATCGTGGTAACGATGCTCGATGTTATTACGCTCGATCCCAGAAAGGGGCCAAGTAATATTCTATCCAGCCTGCCTTTATACGGCAAAGCGTTTACGCTCGAGGGATTCGTGAAAAATGCGCGCGATCCCCTTCTACACCGTGCGCGCGTGCGTGCGTGCGTGCGTGCGTGCGTGCGTCGCGGAAAACTCGCTTAATAGAGAAGAAGAGCAATTGTTGCGAAGAGGGGAAAGAAAAAAGAGGCGATTGTTCCCCGTTCCCAGAGCGCGATTAATCCCAACTACATATAACGGGAGAGCGCTCCAATTTACACATCTCGTTAGACGATCTCGCGGTATCTTTGACCAACGTTGATTATCTCATGTCGCCTACAGCCGTGTAAAGACGTACGATGCCAACGTTATCGCTGTAACGATAACGTGTGATTTATCGGATCGAAGCAACAACCACGCGATATAATATCCCTCTTGCAGGAACAGATACCTAGAAACGAGTATCAGCGTCCGCTTTTTACCTCGATACGAAAACGTACGAACAAAGATGAAACGTAGAACGTTGACGAAGCAGAGTAGGAATTCTCGGTGCGCATCGGGTATGCACTTGGGAGCTCACCGACATACCTATGGCCAATGGACTCGCGGCGATGCAAGCGAAGAAGGATCGGTGCTTGCGGTTGCACGCACCTCGAACATTCCCACAGAGGCGTACAATAACAACAACAACGACGACGACGACGACGACGACGACGACGACAAGTCGTCGTACAGGTTCGGTAGCTGCGCGTTTGCTCGTCTTGACCATGTGATACGACCGGAGCATTGGCGAAAGTATCGAAATCAGGACAGAAAGCTCGGTTAGAAAATACAGCGCCTCGATAAACGTTGAGAGAAACGAGCAAGATGAACGTTAGCGTTCGGACACGGCTGGCTTCCGGTAGCGGCAGTTCGCTCACGGTTGAACGGATTTCAGACCCGTTTCACTTCTACCTGTCTCTCAATCCTGTTGTCGCTCACCAGGATGCCGGATGCAATGCAAAAGTGGTGCTAGGATAGTCAACCTTCTCGCGATTCTTCCGTTTTCCACTCATCCACCTGCCTCTTTTCTTACTCCTGCCTGTAGCGTGTACGCTTTTCGCATTTTCACTAGCATCGCAAAAAAGGCTGAATCTCTCCCTAAGAGAGTCAACGCACTCGAATGCGTGCGCAATAGGGAAAAAGACGAGCGGCGCCGAGGGAGCGGACGAACCGACCGAGCAGAGTTCTGAGAACTTTCGCACGGTGTGAATCGCATTGGAAAGATGCACGCGGGTTCGCGTAGGTGGGATTCTCGTAGAGTACAACGAGCGAGCGATTTGCTAATGCCGGTGGACGAGCACCAACTACGACAAAGTTGACGCACGGAATCTACGGAATGCAACGGCGGAACTCCGAACAGGAGACGATCGCTCGAATTCGCCGACGAATGCCTCCCTCGAGATTGAATTTCGGTAAAACGGTAGAGCCTTGGATTGATAATCCCAAGTTGGATCGATCGCGTCGCATACAAGGTACCGGTTCTCCCTTAACAATGGAAAATCGCGTTCCGTGTTGCGTACTCTTACGCAAACGTATTCGACCGAGTGTCGACCATTACCACCATACCCATCACGTTGCGATTCATCCGAATGTCGACAGAATGAAGAGATGATCGCTTTTTTTGTGGATTGGCCCTTCACAGATCCAATTCGAGCCTGGAGCTTCCTCACAGTCCGGACCCTGGCTCTCGAGTGCCAGAAACTCCGCTGAGAAGGGAGTATGGATCTCACGGTAGGTGTTGCGCGAGTTATAAAACTAAGGGTGAAAATGAAACGTGACGCTTTTATTCGATCTTCGACCGTAGGAAGCATCGACGTAGTGGCCCAGTCGGTGACGGTCGGGGAGAATCTGTTCGCGATGCTCCAAGACTTGAGACCATCGGCGGTCGCGGCCTCGTCCTTGTCCTCCTCTTCCTCCTCCTCCTCCTCCTCCTCCTCCTCTTCCTCCTCCTCCGCGTCTAGAGATCAGCGTAATTCCGTCGGCGTCGAGTACCTGAGACGCGTTCCGGATGGTCAGACGGTCGACGTGGACGAGGTCTGCGGTCCCACCGGTCCAAACTCTAGTCCCAAGTTGCGGCTCAAGTTGCACAGATTGTGGGGCGCCAAGGCTACGCAGCGGCCCATGGAAGAGAGCTGCGGCAGCCCCGTGGTGTCCGCGGACGTCGAAGAGAGGCACAGGAGGCGGGCGTTCGCCCATTACGATTGTCAATCCCTTACCGCGAATCTTGGCTACGCCGCCAAACTCAGAGGCATTCTGCTCGCCAGGAGAAGAAACACCGCGACAGGTGCCTCGGCCGCCAGCTCCTTCCGAGCGTCCACCCCGGACGAGACACCCGAAGAGGATTCTGGCGACGGAAAAGGTATGTAGGCGTAGGCCCCTAACCCCCTGGCTACCGGTTGGCTATATACCGGTTGGTGATAATCGGCTTAGGTAACGATCTGCTGGAATCGTGCCCCTTCTTTCGAAACGAAATCGGAGGCGAGGGAGAGCGAGAGGTGGGTCTGACGCGATGCTCTCAAGGTAACGGAGTTCACAGACCGTCTTTGTCGTACGGTGTCGCGGTTTTGGAACCAGCGCTCGGCGAGACCTCCTGGAAGCATACTTGTCCCCTACAAAGACGACCGCTGCCCATCGAGAGCGTCGACGAGGGCGCCCATTATTACAGACGATACTTTCTCGGTGCGTTCACGTTTCGCTTGTTTTTCGCTTCCGAATGTTCGGTGAAGATATGTTCAGAACTCGGTGTTTGCAGGTCGGGAGCATCAGAACTGGTTCGGTATGGACGAGCAGCTAGGCCCTGTCGCCATCAGCATTCGAAAGGAAGCGAATCAGTATAGAATAATCGTCCGTACCTCGGAGCTTTTAACGCTCCGCGGTTCGGTCCCGGAAGAAGCTCTCGGCGGTATCAGGCCGCAGGGCAGACTACCGACCAGGGAATTGTTGGAATTGGTCGCGCCGGAAGTGCAACTCGGTTCCCTTCGATTAGGCACATCCACCGCCGAGGAAACTCTCGCTAGATTGGACGAGCAGGGACTCTCGAGCAGGTACAAGGTCGGTGTCCTCTACTGTAGGTCCGGCCAGAGAACCGAGGAGGAGATGTACAACAACCAACATGCCGGACCAGCTTTTCTCGAGTTCCTCGACACTATCGGTGAGCAACTCTTTGCAACAAACTTGCTTTCGAACGAGCTACGAGTTCGTGGATAGTTCCTAACGCCAAAGTTCCTAACGCCGTTCCTGACAGGCCAAAGAATAAGACTGCGAGGATTCGAGGGGTACAAGGCTGGTCTCGACACGAGAACAGACTCGACGGGTACTCACGCGGTCGCCGCGACGCATCGAGGAGCGGAAGTGACCTTTCACGTGTCCACGATGCTCCCCTTTACGCCGAATAACAGGCAGCAGCTGCTCAGGAAAAGACACATCGGAAACGACATAGTCACCATAGTTTTTCAGGTAGGTCAACGATATACCGCACTCTCTGTGCATATTCGTACGGCACCCCCGCCTCCACCTCTACTCTCTGTTATTACAAACTGACGACAAACCCGCTAGGTAAATTGCTCCTTGTATTTTACGCGACAGGAACCCGGTGCGTTGCCGTTTAGCCCGCGAAGGATACGCTCGCAGTTTCAACACGTGTTCATCGTTGTCAGGACCATCGACCCGTGTTCCGATAACACTCAATACAGCGTGGCCGTGTCGAGAAGCAAAGAGGTGCCGATTTTCGGCCCGCCCGTCCCCCCTGGTGCCACCTTTGCCAGGGGAAAAGCGTTCGCCGATTTCATCTTGGCGAAAGTGATCAACGCGGAGAACGCGGCGCACAGGTAACGCTACCCTCACCCTCACCTTCACCCTCTCACATCAAATTCGCACATCGCACTTTTCTCTTCTTTAGGTCTGAGAAATTCGCCACAATGGCGACCCGAACGAGACAAGAGTACTTGAAGGATCTTACCACCAACTATTCCTCTACCACCGTTGTCGACACCGGTCAAAAATTTTGTAAGTTCCATTTTTCCCTTTCCCTCTTCCCGAATCAACAATTCACGTGTGTCTCTATTCGAACAGCTATGCTGTCGTTCAGCAGCAAGAAGAAAACAGCGGTGCGACCGAGATTGTCCTGTGACGCTTCGCAGCGCGGTGCGATATGCTGGCAGGTGATACTGGAAGACAGCAATCAGAACACCGACTGTTATCTAGGAATGAGCATAGACACTGTAGTCCTGATCGAGGAACATTCCAGGCAGATAGTGTTCGTTACGCCGTGTGTCAGCGTACTCGGATGGCACGCTCAAACCAACAGGTGCGCTTTTTATCGCTTTTTATCGCTTTTTATCGCCTTTTATCGCCTTTTATCGCCTTTTATCGCTTTTTATCGCCTTTTACGCGGGATTCCGCCTGATTCGTCCGATGTTACAGCTTGAGACTCTACTACCATCAGGGAGAATGTATTACGATTCACGTGCGCGGTACCCCGGGAGCGCCAGCCACGGAACTTTCCTTGAAGAGGAACAGCCTGGGACAATTGGGTTTTCACGTTCAACCGGACGGTGTGGTAACGCAGGTCGAGAGCATGGGGCTCTCCTGGCAAGCGGGATTAAGACAAGGGTCCAGGCTCGTTGAGATTTGCAAAGTAGCCGTGTCCACGTTGAGTCACGATCAAATGGTCGACTTACTAAAAACCAGCGCTCAAGTCACCGTCACCGTGATTCCACCCAACAACGACGCCAATCCCAGGAGGTAAGAGGTAGCTTGTGACATACCACCGTCTCTCTTTCTTCCCCCCTTTTCCTTCATCTCCCTATTCATCTATTCATCTATTCATCTTCTGTTCGCTTTCACACGAAATAGAGGCTGCACGCTGCAAAACTGCCAGTATTTGTCGAGCAATTACGAGGGGGATTACGAGAACGTAACCAGTCCCGATAACAACACGCCGTCTCAGCAGACAGCCATGTCACACCAGAGGCGTTACGAGCGATCCTTCAGTCCACCGAGATCGAGCAACAGTTCCGGCTACGGGACAGGTTCCAGTTCGAGATCGTTCAACGATCCTCGCTTCCCTATGGAAGGCACTATGACCAGCAGCAGCAGTGGACACAGCAGCAACGACGATCGCTGGTGAGAAGATAACGCATACCTGCGAAATTTCCCCCTCGATTACTTCCCCCTCAACTCTGTTTTTCCTTTTTATTTTTCTCTTTGCCAGGTACGAGCTTCTGGAGCCGCAAGATCAGGATAACACCGGGCACCGTACCGGAGGCAGCACTTCTCCGCCGCCCCTTCCAGCCAGACAATCCTACCAGATGCTCGCTTCCAAGTCTTCTTCCCAGAAGAAGGACAAAGAGTCGCGTTACGCGAGTAGCAAACAATTTTCGGAGAACTCGAAGCATCACGGTCACGATCATTACGCGAAGGAGAGTAATTACGTGTCGCCAAAGTCGATGCAAGACAACGCGAGACACGAGAATTACCAAAGGCAACTTGACAACGCTCATCGAAGCCAGGATCACGTTTCCTCCAGTTACGTGAAACTTCAGAAAGAAAAGTACGAGATCAAGCAGGAGAACTTGTACGCGTCTCAGAGAGAGCTTCACAAGAACGAAGTGCATTACGTGAATCACCAAAAGTTGAGCACGTCAAATTCGTTGCCCTTAGCGCAGAACGCGTCTTACAGTCTTCCAAAGTCCAGCAGCAACAACAATCTCGGCAGATGCAACGAGTACGAGCCGCACGATGAGAAGATGCCGGATCGAACGTCCAACAAGTACGAACAGGATGCGAGGGGGCACGAGAAGAGGACGACTACGACAACGACCACGACCACCACGAGCACCACGATCAATTACGAATACCCGGAGGAGGTGTACGAGAGGCGGAACAGTAAATACGAAATGGACATCGGCAAGTATGAACATGGCGATAACGTGGAACAGAATCGGGAATCGATCAGATACGAGCTACCGCCGCACGAATTTAAAGTCGGCGAAAAGGTAACCTGCTTGAAAACCAGCATAACCGAGAGGCCTGTCCCTCACAAGATAAACATCGAGTATCGTCAGACGAAAGATTTCACCACGAGCCTTCCGCCGGAAGTGAGAATCGCTGACGTAAATTGTCCGGAAGTGGCGGCTACTCTTCCGAGCGAGGACGAACTGTCGAACGGGTCTGGAAGCGTATCGCCACGACTGAGAAGAGCGAACAAACACCGTGGCGGAAATCTAACCCCTTCCAGTGGCAGTTCGAGGAACCAGAGTCCCCGACCGAAAGCCGCAGTTCGAAATTCTCACAGGAATTCGGCGAATTTAACCTCGAGCACGCTGCAGGAGGATCTGATGAAGCTGATCAATCCCGATTACATCGCCGACGACGATCAAATAACGAACAACAACCTGACCGGGAACTCGTTGATCGCTAATCAAAATCCGAGCAAGATCAACAACAATATGCTCGAGATTCAGAATAGGTGTAGATCAAGGGAGAACCTCTGCGGTAACGGTGGGAACGCGTTGACCGTTCTACCAGGGAACGGACAAGAGAACGGGAACAACGGGTCCGAGGTGATCCTCACCATGGCTAGGCCGGCCACGGTCATATCGAACGCGAGCACCGCGTCGAGTCCAGCGCCGAGCGAAAATAAATTATCCAAGGAAGAGAGGTAAGCACAGCTCCTTCGTTCGAACAATGCATACCATCTTCGACTTCCGTTTTCCTATATACAATACACTCTATCTCTCTCTCTGGTGCGTGTGTGCGTGTCTGTGCAATCTCTGAGTTTAGATTGTCGCTGCGCGTTACCAAACCTCCCCATTCGATTTCCAAAGCGTCGACCAACTTGCCGTCCATCAAAGACGCGAAAAATCATAACGATACGGACGTGGATAGTTGGCAAAATCACCACGTGGATTCTAGATCGAAGCAGCACGTTCAAGAGTGGTCCAACGACAGACTTATCGATGGATGCAATACCATCGCGTAAGTTCACCGACGCGACATTCGCTTCTCGTATTCTATTATAATGTGCGCTCTTTCGACGCGGCGGTCGCTTAGCCTCGCCTTAACATTCTAACATCCGACCAGGTCCTCTCCTCCCTCGGTACACGCCGGCCGCGCGACTGCCCCGTTCTCGCACCTTCTCTATCAAAACCGGTAACGGTTTCTTTGTTGCAGAAATTCCGTGTCGGACTTGCAGTCCCATTTGTCCACGCTCGAACTGAGAGTAGCCAGGGAGACACGGCGAAGGCTTTCCCTGGAAGACGAGGTGCGCCGTTTAAGGGACGAGAACCGTCGTCTACAGGATGAAAGTCACGCAGCTGCCCAACAACTTCGACGTTTCACCGAATGGTTCTTTCAGGCGATAGATCACCAGTAATCACCACCGTCCTATTCTATTCTTCCTCTTTGTTTGTTCTTGTTTTCTTCGGTCGTGCCAGACTTCCGATCCGTCGTCTTCTTCTTATAAGAACAGTATTATATAGTTTCCTCTCTCTTCGAACATCGAAATTGCGTAGAGATAATAAGACGCGCGAATTCTTTCGTTGATTCGACGCCTACGTACTGGTCGCGATATCACGAGAACACCGCTATTTCGCTACTTTTTGTATCATAAAGTCTGCATTAGGTAGCTGTAAGGGTACAGTGTTAAGTTACCATCGTGTCGCGCTCCATCGAGCTCCGTTAAAAAGTGCAGTAGACTCTTTGACGATGCGCGTTCCTCACGATTACGTCTTACTTCGAAACGACCAAATATTACTAGTTGTTTAAGAATCACTCAGATTCGTTCGTAATTTATTACGTGTACTTTTTGTTTTTGTATAATCGTTAGGAGCATTACCAATTAAACGAAGCAGAAGGAGAACGGTATTCGTTTTCGTACGCGTTTGCAACAATCGACACATTCCCCGCGCACCATTCTTGTTCGTTCCTTGAAAACTACAAAGGCATCCTCTGTTGAACAATAATTTGTAAATTTAAACGAGAAAAAAGAACGATAATAAAAAGAAATGCACACCTGAACGAAGGAGAAGGAGAGAAGATTTATTTTTAACACAATCGACAAGAAGAGGGGATGCTTTACGAGGTAATAGGTACCATAAGACGTAGAATAAAATAGTTTATTGTAATTCACAGGAAAAAAAAAAAAACAAGACATTTTCATGATGCCTGAAAAGTCACTGTTCTGTATCGGTTAACAATAGCTGTGATTATACACGCTTTTCTGTTCGGAACCAACGCATGACCAATCATGCGCGATGTCGGAACGTCGAGGTGAACAATACAGAGTATTCGACGATGTAATCTACGATTAAAATTTTTTTACGATAATCCGCTCCTCAAAAACGGCATGTAACAGATTCTAGTTTTCTCTTATACGTATATATCGAAATACTCGTGTCTGTCTCTGAACGGAAAAAACCTGTGATCGGTCTCACACAATAGCGCACACCGTCTGTGGAAAGGTACAACGATCGTCGCACGACCAAACGATGAACCGCGTCTATCCGTCTCGGTGTTCCGTGCCCGACGACCACCTCCCCGTAAATCGTTCGTCCGGCTTTCCTCGCAAACTTCTTTCAATCGGGGGCATACGCGTACCTACCAACGCAAACGTGATATCGAGATGTCGCTTCGACCTTCCAATTCTGACCAAAGTCAGACTCGTTCCCTTTTTAAGTACATCAGAAACTATCTATAGCGAACGTAACTAGCTTAACGTGTTCTTCGTAAAACTGCACCCCGATCGAATGTTGTCGTTCCGTACAAATTTCTCTCTGCAACGCGTACGGTAAATATCATCCAAGGTTCCTTCGAACCCTTTACACGGTTTCTTTGATTTCGTTTCATCGAGCAAAACCCGCCATCCTTCGACTCCACTTTTATCCGTGGAATTGCTAAAGTAATTTTTCCTCTTCTGTACGTCGACAAGCTTGGGTGATTGCTAAACGCGTAATCGAGGAAAGGAAAGCGACGACAGGATACGGACGAAAAGTAGAGTCACGAGGCGTTCTCGACGTTATATGGCACGAAAGGTGAAGGTGTATCGCTTTGCGGAGGAGAATCCTCCTCCTGCTGCTGCTGCTGCTACTGCTGCTGCTGCTGCTGCTGCTGCTGCTGCTCCTGCTGCTCCTGCTGCTGCTACTTGCTGCTGTTCGTATCGAATAAAAGCAGAGAGATATTTCGATCGTAAAGCTGATCGTACGGCGAAAAATTCGTAAGAAGATGCGTCGAGATAACTAGAGGAGAAAAGGAGATGGACTTTTGAGTTTTGTTCGCGATTTGTTACGAGAGAAGAGGCACGGAAGGCTTCAAACGTGTGTACAAGTGTTTCGTTCGACTGGTCTCTCCAAAAGGGCAATCGAAAATCAATCAGATTCGGAATTGCCAGAAAACAATGAGAACGGGCAAACGAGCCGTGATAACGTTACGTTTCGCGCTAGGTACGCGCTGCGAACCCTTTCAAATTCGAACACTCTTCGATCGTCATCCTGGCCATCCTTTCTTAATTCTCGCCACTCAAGTATCATTTCCCATTAATTCACTTCGAGCACGTGATATAACCGCTACCATCCCATCACACTGAAACGGATATTGGCAAACTTTGTTGATCCCTATACTCTCATAGAGGGACAGACAGACAGACAGACAGACAGACGGAGAAGGAGATACAGAGAGAGAGAGTGCTGCACACCCTGCGTCATAGCGAATACAAAAATACTGTTCTGTTGCACCATTATTTCTCCCACTACTCCTATTGTTTTATGCATAATAATCCCTGTAACCTTTTGAAACGCTCCTTTGTCGCTGTTAAGAGAACAAGGAAAGAAAATACCGAATACGGCATGGTGTAAAAGAAATTGCGATAAGAGCCTAATTCTGATCATTTTTTCCTCGCCCTTTGTCTTTCTTTTGGCCCTTTTATCTCCAATGGAAAATATTCCACAAGCATAGTACTCGAAGAATTGTTATTTGTAACCTAACACTTATAACGCGCATGTTACCCTCCTTTGCGATTTGTCTCGTAACTTTCGAGAGAATGTTACACAAAAAAGGAGAGAGGGGAGAGGAGAGAAAAAAGGAAGAGAGAGAAAAAGAAATAGGACGACGACGACGAACGAGCCAATCGACACTGATCGCTGATATTTTCCCGAGGAAGTTACAGAAGACCAATTACGATATGCGAACAATACGGACTCGACGCGTTATTTCTCTATCTACATATTCCACATTCTTCTTTTCTTCACTTTTTCTCCACTCTTTTCTCTCGTATCTACTCGTTTCTCTAGCTGTTCCAGTAATTACAATTCGGCATTGCGCTCCAAGGATTTCGCCTCGTGACAGAAACAAATCCTCCATCGGCGTCGAGCCACTTGTTATATACTACGATTATTAATTGTATAATCACACACACATATATACATATATACATTACCTACATGTATGTATGTATGTATGTATTTATATGTATGTATAGTATATATTCAGCATCACAGTAAGATAGCGCCCTTCATTATATAAGTGATCGTCAATCAGCTCGGATCATTTATATTCATTCCTGTCAACAACATACTCTACAACAAACCGTCTAAACATTGTCGAATAATTTCTCCTTCTTTAGCATCGACATCGATGCAATTTGTTACGTACTCGATCACCTATCGTATTCGTAAGAGTACACACACACCTGCACACAGGGACAGACATTGGAGAAATGAAACCGTACAAAGGTACTGTGCTCTATAAAAACGATCGATCAATAACCACACGTAGTAACTGCGTGCCATCGGACTCAGGAGAAACATAGCGATACGATATACATACATATAATCGATTGTCAGAAAGGAAGGTGTGAAAGTTGCAAAAGAAAAAAAAAAAAAAAAAAAAAAACAAAAGGGGGAAAAAACAATTGGCGACAGACCCCCTTCTTCGCGGCCTCACCCTCAGGCGGAAGAAAAAAATGATTTGTACATTATTACACGATGTCGTGCAAAAACACCCAAGAACTTCGTACGTAGCGGGTACGTATCGTTTTCCACTAATTATTTCGCGATCGAACTTGACGAGTCTTCGTATCCCGTTCCACATACTACTTCACACGCAACACTCGCGCACACAAGCACGCACGCACGCACGCACCCACCCACACACACACACACACACAGAGCAGAAACACATACGCGCGCAATACAGACGAAATACCGTCCAATACTGTGTACATACTACGTTTCGGTGGACTGTCCACGCTCGATCTGCTCTACCTATCAAGTGGCAAAGGAATCAATTCTAGAAATAGATACTTATAATTAATTTGAAAATAAATAGTTATAAAAATAAGCGAGCATTTTATGCTTAAAATACCTTAGGTAAAACTTAATTAGTTTGCACCACGTACGGAGTGGAATGTGTGGTCTCCCTTGCTAGATCGTAAAAGCGTACGTCTAACAAAAGATTCGACTACCGCGTAAAAAACATTAACGACGCAACTTGTTCATTGCGATTCGTAGTGCGACAGCTGAAAGGAAATTAAAAAAAAAAAAAAAAATAAAGGGAAAAAAAAAAAGAAAAAAAAAAAAAAAACTATGAAAGGGAAAGAAAGAAGGAAAACACGCGTGAGTCAATAAATAAGAGTGCAACAAGAGATTAGAAATATGATAAAAGACGAGACCGATATTGATCGATACGTCGATAATAGTCGTTACTCGTAGAATAAATAACTGTGCTTGAAAATCTGGTCTCCCCGCGAAAATACATTAGGTACACGTTGTCCGATTCGTCTTCCTACGAGTATGTTTCTTACGTTACCCCAACTCGCCCACCCCACCCCACCCCATCCCACCCACGATATATAATTCACAGCTGCTGCACACTGTGGAAGAGATGAGACATTTTTACACGCAAATATATTTTCATCGCGAAAATACGAAACGCAAGCACTCACGATTTCCAGATTATTTAACTGAAAACTGAGAAAATCTTTTTTTTGTACTCTTCTACAAACTTTTTTCGAGTCTACTCTTTACTCACTTATCTAATAACAACGACGACGACACGTCCCGATAATTGCGCAAACGTATCTTAGGAGTGATTCGCGCTATGGTCGAGCGTGTCGGAATCGTTCCGCGAAACGAATGCACACGAGGTTCAAAACGAAACGGCACAAATTCATATCCACTGCGGTTCGTTTCCCGAGGGTGGGTGGGAGAGAGGGGGAGGAGGGAGGGAAGGAACAAACCGTGAGCGAAGATCGTGAGATTCCAACAACGCGACACGTACAAGCGTACGTATACGCTTTCTCGTACGTAGTACGCACTCGCGCGTTCGCCACGGATCATTTCCGCAGGGAAACGAATCCAGTGACACTACTACCCTTAATTTCAATACTTGACGATACCGAAACGCCGGTCGAATATCTTATACTATTCGCGTCGCGTCCTCTTAGGACGCTGACTGACTCCGACCTCGTCGGTGCCACGCGATTTTTTACCGATTTGTACCTGACTCTGTGCGGTTAGCTGCAACGAAATCGCGTGCGTGTTTAACTTTTCAGCCAACAACAAGTCCTTCAGACCCTTCATCTTCTGACTGTACAACGTTATCCTTGGCCTCTCGTGCTCGGAATCAGTCTCAACCTCGGGATCGAGGTTCTCCTGAGAAGTGGAAGGTGCCGGAGGCAAGGCATCGTCCGGCGGAGCTACGAACGGTTCTCCGCCACCTTGCAACAGGTAATCTCTGTTAAGTATTTTCTCGCTGCATGCCGCTGTCAACGCTTGAATACTGGGATGCATCGGTGCTGGGTTAGACGGTACTTTAGACTCTAAGCTTTTGATCAAATCGCGCGCCGCGTTCCCTCTCTCCTTAGTCTTGCAGTAATTGTTGTTGTTGTTGTTGTTCAACGCTTCTTCCGGGCTCGTTTCCCTCTTCTGTGATTTATCCTCCTCCTGTTTCGCCTCAGCGTCGTAACAATCGATAATTACCTGAGCGCGAATACTGGCATCGAACTTTGAAATAGTGTTGACCAATGGTCGAGCCCATCCTATATGCAGAACAGGTGTGTTCGCTCCTTCCTCCCACTGACAGATACCGTCGTAGAACCTCAACAAGTACGCGAAACACCGTGGCTGTCGTAACAGACGTTCGTCAGCTCGTACCGTATGCGGTATCAACTCGTTTGCTATTTCCAACAATTCTTTGTATATCTCTCCGTCGTCCCTCGAATAGTCGTACCTGTTGCGCACGTTACAATTTGCAATAAGATTGTCTAAGTTTAAGAAAACTTGCTACTTGATCGATTCGTGGTCACACTCACTTTCTTAAAACGTCTGCTGCGTCCGCCCACGACGCCAACGCGTTAGCGTGCAGTCCGTGTCTGTACAAGTAGCCGCCTTGATAAGTATACGGATACACGTGAGCATTCCCGTAATACTTCCTCGCCGATCGTATAGCTTCCTAAAAACTTTCGATAGTTATGCAATGCAAATCGGACGAGAAATTCAACACGAACGAGTTTAAACCTGACGATACCTGGAAAAGATCTATGGCGGGAGGTCTGCCCGGAGTGGGCGCCGCTTCCTCGAGATCACCGAGATTGCCGAGGGCCATGGGATATTTAGCGAGATGACCCAAATCGTACAGCAACCACAACAGCTCCTGTTGAAGTAACGCCACTTCTGCAGCATCAGCAGTGGCGCTTAAACTAGGATTTATAGCAGATACTATAGTTGCAACTTCCATAGCTCTGGAGCATACAACCGCTTGCCCGTTCACGTATAACCACGATCGAGAAGCTACACCAGGTTCCACTGGTTGGCCACGCTTATCCTCGTTTCCTTTTCCTAACAATATACAAAGGACAATTGGGTTTTTGGTACGGACAATCAGTAGTTGAAAAGCTTACGGCGCAACGAAGCAATCAGCTCTTACCGTGCCATGTAACTTCTGCAGTCTCAATTCCATTTTCCCCATAAACCACCCAGGCATGGTCTTCGGACATGGCAAGATGCACATCTTTAAATCCTAGTACTTGACAGCCAGCAACCACGGCAAACGCCACGCCGAAACAATCCAATTTATTTGCTGTGAGGTAGCTATAAAGACTTTGTAAGTGTGCGCGATCCTTGTAGTAGCTTCTGGTAAGAGAGTTCCATATCACATCGGAGACCTTTTTTACGAGCTCTCGTGTGGCGTATTTGGTGTCGTAAACGGTAAGATCGATCGCACCCTTGATCACAGCATGAAACTTTGTGTAAAGTGCTTCAGCGATGTGAAACTCTACGGCCGGCAATTTCGGCTCGTCGTAAACAGTGCTCTCCTGCGACGCAAATGTTCGATTGCAGGTTAGGGAGTTCTCGACTGCGCCGACGAGGATCGAGAGCAAAGCCAAGTCCGGTTCCAAGTTGTTTACCAGTTGGTTTTGAAAGATCCTTACGATCGAAGAAATACTCTGGATGGGAAATAGAGCCTTATCCTCGTCTCGAAAACCCGCCATGTCGCGACTGGCAAGTTGCACACACGAGATCGAGATCTTTACTCAAACCACGAGTGTCATCCTGTTTCGAGTTTATCTTGACAGAAACCCCCGACGAAATCGCGCGGTTCGCTCGGCTTCCTCTTCCTCGACTAACGACGCACGCTAGTCAGTGTCGATTTTCTCGTTCTGAATGCGAAATCTTCACATTTCCGCATCAGAAAATGCACCACACCATATATCACCCAGCGGCGCGCCGCCACTAGGACCGTTTCCAACGAACTCTCGTCCTGTCGTTTGACAAAGCAAGAAGGCGAGTTTCTGTGTGAGCGACGCAACTCTAACGTAAACTATACACGATCGAAGACACGCGCGCGTTGCGTTCTAGAATTTTCCAGAGTATCCCTGCGGTATGCGGTGTTCGTACATTAGACGAACGGAACATTTCATTTACTATTTATCCTTCGACGTTTGTAAGGTGAAAATACGATGATTTTTATAACAGTCTGAAAATTCATCGTACGTACGTTCGAAATATGAAACGAACGATTTCAAAGATTCCATTCAACGTGATTTACGCATTTATTAACGCTCGAACGATTTATTCGGTCGATAGGCAGACGTATGTAGATGCGTATCGGTAAAAAAAGGTGTTCACACGATTGATATAGAAATTCTAATGACGATCGATGTGTTATATAAATTAACACAACAGTTGACGGAACGTCGCAAGATGGCGCAACAGGCACGATCGAGTATCGCATTTGGTTAGTCGTTTTCAATCTCGTATATCGCCTTTTTATACGTTCAGAACATTCAGTTTTCCGTGAGATTTGTAAAAGTTGAAAGAAAATTGTACCAAACGCGTTTACCTACATTCTACGTTCAGTGATC